GTCCCCCGGGTCCTCTCCGCCCCACTCTCCTACATCATGTCCTCATCTGAAGATTTGTCCCCACTGAAACCACCTGTTGTGGACTCTCCGGTGGTGCCACCTGTTCGTCGCTCTCTACGGGCGACTCTCGTCCAGCCACCTGCTCGGTATCATGATTTTGTGTCTTATCAGGTTGACCCTATTCCCTTTCCTACCAAGTTTCCGCAAGCTAAGGGAGATCCAAATTGGGATAGGGCAATGCGAGAGGAAGAGGATGTTCTTCAAGCAAACAACACATGGGAGCTGGTCCCACGTCCTCCTCCTTCAGTGCCTGTAGTTGGTTCTCGCTGGGTTTATGCTTTAAAGGTTCTTCCTGATGGTTCGATTGAGCAATTTAGAGCTCGTCTCCTGGCTCATGGGTTTTCAAGGGAATTTGGGATTGATTTTTAAGAAACTTTTGCGCCGGTAGCTAAGATGGTGTCTGTTCGAACACTTTCGGTTGTTGCTGCACTTCGTGGATGGCCCTTGTATCAGTTGGACGTCAAAAATGCATTCCTGCATGGTGATCTAAAGGAAACGATTTATATGGAGCGTCCTCCTGGTTACTCATTGGGTACTTCAGATCAGGTATGTCTACTACATCGGAATTTTGTTAAATCCAACTCCACGGGCTTGATTCGACAAGTTCCATTCCACGATTACGGATCTTGGTTTTCGTCGGAGTGTGAACGACCATTCTTTGTTCACTCGTTCTACGTCCCCGAGGCTAGTAGTCTTGATTCTATATGTCGATGATATGATTGTTTCAGGTGATGAAGAGGAAGGTATTTAGCTTCTTATCGCCAATTTACATCGCTCATTTCATCTCAAAGAGTTGGGCTCTCTATCATATTACATAGGATTGGAGGTTACTCATACTTCTCGGGGAATTCTTCTTCGACAGACTAAGTATATAGATGACCTCTTGGAGTCATCTAGATATGATATGTGTGTCCCTGGTTCTAGCACTGTTATTAAAACCGAACCGGGAAAACCCGGACTGTAGCCACCCTTTTGTATTATTATATTTTCTGTTAAAAAATAGACAAGTGCCTCCCCTTTGTTTATTTCCGTTTCAATTAACAATTAATAAATGAATCAGGCCAACTGAAAAAAAGGAAAACGTGGCCCCTGCCTACAACCAAAAAACTTTCCTTTGAATTTTACTTTTTTATTCTAATTTTTTCCCTTCTTTCTTCTTATTTGAAATCAACCACCGGCTTATGATCGGTTTATAGTACCGGACTACCGGTTAATCACCGTTTATTCGATAAACCTTGAACCTCTAGTTAATCCAGATCGAAGTTCGATTCGGTTTTGACAACACTGGTTTCTACCCCTATGGAGTTGAATTTGAAGCTGGGGAGGGACTCTAGGACTTTTGTTTTCTGATGGAGGAAGCCACTATCGTAGCATTGTCGTTAGTTTAATATACTTGGCATCTACTAGGCCTGACATTGCTTATGTAGTGCATATCGTGAGTCATTTCATGTCAGCCCCAGATTATGCCGATTGCGTTGATACGAGACGATCTACTACTGGTTGGTGCATTCGGTTTGGTGGTTCTTTTATATCCTCAAGGTTCAAGAAGCAGGATCAAGTGTCAAAATCATCCACAGAAGCAGAGTATCGTGCTATGTCTGATGTTACGTATGAATAGAGTGGTTGTAGCGACTTCTTGGTGATCTCGGAGTGTAGTGTGTTGTTCCCTTAGAGCTATATGTTGATAACACCAGTGCCATATAGATTGCCACTAATCCAGTTATGCATGATCGCACGAAGCACATTGAGGTACATGTTAACTATATTCGTGATCTTGTTCGTGCTGGTATAATCAGATTTTCTATATCACCTCAGAAGATCAGCTTGCAGACTTGTTCACGAAAGCCTTTACTGCCTCACGTCACTCGTACTTCTACTGGCAAATTGATGATGCGTACCCCTCATCAATTTGGGGGAGGGTGTTAAGTTACGTAATTACGTAATGTAGTTAGGGCTTTAAGCTCATGTACGTGGTGTGATACCTCGACTTCGATTTAAGGTCCAACAACAAGTACTGACTGAGCTAGACCAATAAATTGAAAACAAAATTGTTTCGTCACCGTGGCGAGGGAATTAAAGAGGACAAGTAGACACTCAAAGCTACTCAATGTTACCCAGCTGGGATGAGAATAATTTTTATGGTCAAGGGTAAATATAAGGACTATATCAAACGATACAAATCAAGCAACGAACATCATTGAAGTTCATATAGCTGGTGTGAATTCTGGAGCAAAGGAAGCATGAGAATGAGGAGTATGGAAGAATGAGTCCAAGCAAATTTTGGGGACAAAATTTTTATAAGGGTGGAAGAAATATTACACCCCAACATTTCGATCCAGGTTCGACCGAACGGTTGGATCGACGGCTGCGTACGAAGGTTGAAAATTGTAAATTAGAAATAATAGTAATAACAATGGGTTAATAACCATTATTATTATTATGATTATTTACATAATCATATCTCACCCACCCCTCCCATCAGTAACGGAAAAAAAAAAGAATAAAATAAAGGAAAATCCCCCTCCTCACTCACACGTTACACCCCATCCCTCTCTGTGACTCTTCCTCTCTCCCTACCGTAAACCGAAGAGAATCAGAAGGAAGGAAATAAAAAGAGAAAGGAAGAAGGGGACCGCTCCTTCTCATCTCCCTGGCAACGCAGCAGCACCAGCCTCTCTCCCGCGACCCAGCGACGACCAGCAGCAGTGGACGACGCCAGCCTTCCTCTCCGTCGACCCCATCCCACCGCGAACCGCCGACTGCTCTTCACCTCGCCATCATCCCTCACTCGACGGTGGATACGCTAGAGGTAAGGACTGATGGTTTGAGTGTGGCTTCGAGCTCAATTTCATTTTTGTAGCTAATCGGATTGTGTTGGCGGCAAGGCGTACGAGACTCGTCGGGAAGTTGCATCGGCGGTACCGGCGTAGCCGACCTTAACCAAACTTTGAAACATTGGTATCACCGCGAAGAGGACAATCCCAGGATCGTCACGGTCTCGATGAAATCGAATTTGGACGTCAGATGAGGGAGATACGAGCCTCGAAAGTTTGGGACGCAAATCAGATAGTTCAGGAACCGATTTTTTCTATTCGAAAAATTAGAGGATTATTTCTGTAAATTTCCGAAGAGGTGGTGGTCAACTCGTTGACTGGGAATTTACCAAATCGGTAACTGGTACTTTGAAAACTAACAGAATGTTTGTTTTTACCATATCTCGATCAATTGACGTCCGATCGAGGAACCGTCTGCGCCTGTGTAATCGTGAAAGTGAGGAGAATATTCCGGGATCAAATATCGAAATTTTATAGCAGAATCAGAGTTTGTTTCGACGGATTCGAGGTGAGTGTAAAGAGGATAAATTCTACGCCTTACGTATTTTTCAAATATTTGTTTTACGTGTAAGAAGTTGTTTTATGTGAAATTGTGTGCTTGATTATGTTTATGGGTGATGATGTGTATTCTTTTGATTAATTGTTTGAAGGATATGTTTATGAGCTTTGAGTACTTAATTAAAGCTTTTACGTTTCGTTTGACGATTAAGTTAAAGTGATAAGAGCAAGAGAAAGTCATAAGTAAGAATAAGTTAACATCACTTAGCTAGCCACTAGCTAGATGGATTCCTACCGGACGGTGATAAGTTCCGCGGTAGTTGATCACTACCGGATGGTGATACGTTCCGCGGTAGAACGTCAGGCGTGGAGCCGGACGGTGACGAGTTCCGCGATTTCCATTGCCTAGGTTTAGGTGTGCTACCGGATGGTGATACGTTCCGCGGTAGTCACGCCGTAGTTTGACACCGGATGGTGATTCATTCCGCGGTGGTCAAACCCATTTGAGGGGCACCCCATTGTGAGGGTAGTTATGTTTAAGAAGTAAGAAAGTAAGTAAAGCTAGTAGTGGCGCCAGCTAAGTCGAGGTAGGGGCCCCAGTAAGATAAAGGATGAGATAACACAATTTTAAGAGTTAAAGTTTAAAGGCGGAAGTACAAACAACCTCCATAAGTTTAAGTCAATGTTTTAAGCAAAGTGCTCAAGTATTAAAAGTAACAAACGTAAGGGCGTAGACTGACCCTAACTCACTCACCAGTTTGAAGAGGAAGAGGATGAGCAGTTAGAGAGCAGCGGTTCGAGGGGAGCTAGCTGGAGGAGGATGGTACGAGCATCACGGAGGATGTCTAGTCAAGGTTATCATTCAGCAGCAACGTTTAAGATTAATTAGTTAATATACTTTATGATTATGAGTATAGACTGGAGATCATATTGAGATTTTAAGGTTTGAGTTAATTTGCCCACGTGTTAGGGCGTTGCTTTTAACTCAAGTGTGTATGTTTTCAGTATTTAATTTATGAAAATTTTTTCCACTATAATTTAAGGTTCGAGTATTTTATTTTTCAAGGGCATTTTAGTAAAAGTAGTACCCGGCCGGGTTAGGGTGTTTCATGTGGCGTGTGGCCCATGCATAAAGCACTGGTAGAGATAAGCAAAACCCTTAGAGTTAAGGCTTATGTATTATGTATATATTTGTAGCCTCCAAGATTGTTGAACTCATCTGAATAAGAACATTATACGCTTCGGCCGTAGACTAGTCTCGTTCATACTGAACGAGGAAATCACATAAATCTTGTATCGTTTTCGTTCTGTTTCGTAAACTTTGTTCATGGCGATGGGGTTGAGTAGATAGTCCCCCACATCTCCACCATAATTGTTTCTCTAGTATTTTTCAAAGTCACCCCGTATCCAATAAGTGCAAGAACAAATTATGCTAACTACCTAAAATATGATTTTGTGTATCTGAGTAAAGGAAATTCGATATTTGTATGCACGAGAGGATGAGAAATTTGATATTCTTCAAAGAACAAATGGAACAAACATGTACAAAGCAAAAATACTTGTCATACTTCAATTGGTATGCACTTCTAATTTTAAAACTGGAAGTATCAGGTTCAAATCCTTTTAGTAGTTTGCACTAGAAACCAGACAACGGTTTGATGTTTGCCAAACCTTAACGGAATGTTAACAAGACAACAGAATCTCATCTTATGCTCTCCTTTTTCTTGTCAAACTATCAACATCCCCAAAAGTTCAAAGGAAACCATGTGCCTTGGTGTGTAAAGGGAGTCAATTAGGGCAATTCCCCCCTCAACTACCAGTCTAGTCATTGTCTCCAAAAGCCCAAGCAACAGGAAAAAATAATTATCAGACACACATAAATAAACGATATATGGCTAATTGCTGCCCCCAAATAATTACAACCCCATTCTTACGTTTCCCTTTTCCTCCCCTTTACACAAAGGAACCATCGATACATCATTAATGCAAAAGATAAAGAAGAAAACCAAAAAGGCAAAAACAAACAATAAGAAGAAGAAAAGAGAAAGAACCAATAGAGTTCTATAATTAGAAGAAGACATAATCATGACCCATAAAACAAGAATAACTATTTGTTAACGCAAACTGCAAAATGATTATGGAAAGAAAAGAACAAAGACATACTAGCCATATTTCCTTTTCCATTTTAAAGAGAAAAACGTGAATAAAATTATTATTATTGGTATGATACGACAATTTAGGCTAAGAGCCAGAAGTCTTTGTGGCGCTTAGTGGTGATCAAGTAACCCCCATGTTTGTTGCTCTTCCGCCGGACCGCAATCGCCATGCACTCTGCATTCTGGATGCAATAGTCCACCACCCCTCCGCCACCGCTGCCGACGGCGGCCGTGTTCACTTTGTTGCTTGCCCACATCATGATCAGCCGCCACGTCATCGACCTCTTCCTCTGCCCCAGAACAAGAAGGGCTGCACCTTGCTTTTTTGCCTCTTCCACGATCACAGGACCTTTCTCCTTCCCCTCTACAATAGCTGCCTCGATCTCCACCTGTGTTAATTTACCCCCAATCAAGTTCAGAATACAATTTCTCCACATTGCCCCGGAAGGCGGAAGAAAACCCACCTCTGGTCTCTTAGCCTGACACATTTTCTTGAGATTGTTCACCAGTTCGTACCCTCTTGTAGCTTTCCCCTTTGTGAAACCTGTCCCAAAACATTTTACAGTGAATTACTACACCAAGACATCAAAATTGAGACATTTGGAATGGACCCAGGAAATCAATTTGGAACCTTGGTTATTAGATGGCTTGGCAACATGGAGAAGAATCACGTAATCCTGGCTCTGAATGGTTTGAGAGAGCGCCCACTGCAGGGCAACCTTAGATTCCCCGCTCGAATCAACCACGATCATTATCTTCCTCCGCCCCGCAGAAGCCCCCTTTGTCGTCGTCGCCGCGGCCACGCCGGAGATCTTCTCATCTTGATCACTGTTATGGTCGTCAGCTCCCGGAGAAAATTTCCTAGCGGTCACCGGAATGCTCTGTTTCTGGTGGGGATGTAACTGCGGCGAACGGACCCTTACATGCGGCCGAATCCGGTTGAGGCAGAAACTGGGGAGCCTAGTGCTACTGCTCCCTGCCGTCTTTCCACCCATTTGGCTAATTACTTTCGAATTTTGATTAGGACAAAGTGATGGGCAAGTTATAAAGCGGGAATGAAGATGAAGGAGGCAGAGGAACAGAGCAGAGAGAGGTTGTGATGATGATGAACCGAATTCAGGGAGGAATAATATTTGGATGGGTTATCACTAATGAGTAAAGTGGGTTTGTATTCCACGTAACCTTTTGTTTTGTTTTTAATTTCTTTGGTATGTTTGAAGGGGTTGATGATTGTCGAACGCTAAAGCAGGGGGGGTTTTCTTGGTTGCCTTTTGATTCTTCTATGGCCATGTGTGGGGCTATTCAACAACGTGCCTGGCATGAAATTGTAGGGTCGTATTACAGTTATGCTTCTCCAATTTGTTTTGTGCTATCAAGAGAATAACTGAACTTTCAGATTTTTTAAAAAAGTTTATTTAGGTTGATTAGGCGATGACACATGATATGCTGACCTTTAGTTAATGATTTTGACCGTCTTACATACCGGTTAACATTTGGCTTTGAACAAATAAGTAATTTTTGTGATAGTTGTGGCCACAATGTTAAATAGTGAAAAGAATGGTCAGAATGTTAAGGATTGAAAAAGTTCGGGCAAGAGGAAAATATTAACTCTAAATTTACGTGTATTTCAAAGTTGAGAGAGATATAACCTCCTCTATACTTAACGTGGCTCTATCATTGCAAACGTAGAAGAAATGTGAAGTTGTAGGTAAAGACCCACTCTTGACATGCAAACTTGCTAGTCAAGTCAGTTGAAGAAGTGATCCTTCATAGTTGGAACTCTTCCCGCCTTAATTAATCTCTATGAAATAATTGAAACACAGAACAAAATATGTAACAGAGAGATGGGTGCAAGGGAAGATGATGACACATGATTTGTTTGTTTACGTCTCGGCTCAAAGGTGTCAACCTTTCGAGACCTAGTTTTCGTAGGCCTTTTTTTATTGTCAATCTCACCACGAGTAGGATTCCTTCGGGAGGAATTCAAACCCTTTTACAATTATCATAACTAAATATTTCAACGTGTTGAATCCGAATCTACGGATTCCATGGGCATCGAGATGAAGATATTTTTGTAGATATATGATCAAGAGAGTTTTGCTCCTACAAAATCTATTGGAATAACCTAATGGAAAGACCTATAAATATATCCACATGACCAATATTTGAAGATAAGTCTTTTATAAGGGGTTACTCTGCTACACAAACAACTCATCAGAACTAGAATAGGTGATAACTTACCGCTTTCCCATTTAGGACACCATTTCACGGAGCATAGGTGATAACCCCTAAAATAGGTGTTATTCAGCCCACATTCTCAAGGTTTTTGTGAGCTAAATCACCGTCTCCAAGCCACATATCAAGCTAATTTAGGCCTATGTTCGTTCGTATTTGTAAAACATCCATTTTTGGGATGGGTTAGCTTGCTTGAAGGTTTCCATTTTTGGTGTATTTGATGAAATTTCAGGTCTTATATTCATTTACAATCGATTTGGAGTTCATCCGAGCACGTTTGCATTGCATAGGAGCAAGAAGGGAAGAAATAACATAAGTCACAACCACGTCAGGACCTTGACAAGAACATGTTAATGTATGCGACTGTGAACAATATCCTCGAACTTCAGCAAGCAGCCAACTAGAGGGCAGAAAGTCTTGACACATTATTCGTGGCCAAAGGGCTTTTCGAATGCAAAAAAAAAAAAAAAAGATCGTGGTCATGACATAAAGATCACGACCACAATCTTGACACTTGAAAATAATTACAAGATGCGAAGTGTCGGGAGATTCGGTGTCTTTTTGCCCTGTCAAGGCCAGGTCATGGCCTAATCATGACTAGGTCACAATCCTGATGACCATTAGAGGTTGTGATCTGCACCAAAACCAATATAAATACCCATTTTTTCATTTGACAAAGGAGAGCTTACCAAGTGTAAGAAATTAGGTATTTTCTGTATTTTTTAGAGAGATAAAAACCTTGAGAGAGTTTGGGAAATGTCAAATCCATCCAAGGATCAAGGAGAAGGTATAATCCAAGAAGAAAATGATTCCAAGCATTTCCCCTCTTCTTAGTTTGTATTTCCTTTCTCTATATCACATGAATCGCTAAGGTTGTTTAATGAAGATGAACCCTAGCATACCGTTTGGTATAATGAATTCTATAAATTTTAAGGAATTCATTTTGAAATGAAATCTTTTTTGTTTGGTATTCAAAAGAATTCATTTTCAATTCTAAATTTTGAATTCTACGGAATTGGAGCTAGTTATAGCAATTCCGAGGAATTGAGATGAAATTTCCAAATTAATTCCACAAGAATTTACTAATTATAACAAAATTACATAATTATCCTCATTTATTAACTAAACTAATTCTACATGTATTATTTGAAGGCAGTTCATGCAGTATAAGGAACGTCGGAAAGAATTTGATTGCAGCGCTAGTAGCATATTCTGGTTATTTCATATTTATGCTTTGAATATATCAATATGTTGAGAAGTCACAACTAGAGTGTAGGATTCATTGACAAAATAATGAAAGAACTAATGAATAGAATAGAAACACACAAGAACACTTTGATATTCTGCGTATGGGACCAGAAGCATTTTTTAGAAGATGGATATTCAATGAATATTTTTTCTAGCGAAAATTAATAAGGGCGTAGTTGGAAACTTTTAATTCAATTCAATTACAAACGTACGCCAAGCATGGTTTGGGAATTCAATTTTTTTATTTCTTAAATTTGAATATTACATACCAAACACAAGAATTCATTTGACAATGAATTCTATATGGTAATTCATTTTCAAATGAAATGAATTCTAGATTCATTTGGTACAAAACGGTATGTAGCTTATATAGATTGTTTTATGGGTCATGTGTTTGAATGGTTATGAACCTATAATCTATGCCTAATTGATGTTTGTTCATTAGAATCTTTTACATTATTGTGATTGATTTGTTCTTGGCCTAGGAGAGATAAGCATCCCCTTAGGTCAATATTGGGGAATAAATCAAATAGTGGTTTGTTTGCAACCTAGATGATATGGAAATTGTCATTACTTTGCCCATGAATCTATGTCATAATTGGTTTTAATTAAAGTGCTTAATGCTTTTACTTAGAGTTTAGATGTTTGTGAATGCTTCTTACCTTGATTGGTTGATTTATAGATCTAGTTAGAGGTCGTGGTGACCATCCTCTTCTAGTTAGATTTTCACGTAGTTGATGCTTGTCGGGTAAGTGCGTGATCATCGACTTACCCGACTTGTGTGCGGATGGATATAAACTGTTTAGAGGAGGTCGAACCAAATTCCTAGTTGGGTAGACCGGTTGAGGCGACATTGGGCCGGTGCACAGCTAACTAGCAGGCGGACCGATTGTATGACCATTGAGTCGATTCCCACCTTCGTGACCTCCACACCTCAAAGTACCATTAGATTATCACCCATATCAACCTACAGCTAGAGGGATTCGATCCTAGACAACCATCTCATCTTTAGGGGTCTCCCAATCACTTGGTTAGTTGTTTATTTAGTTAGGTTAGGTTAGGTTAGTTCTACCGCCAACCTTCCTATGTAATTAGATAGTAGTTTAGAGCTAAGTAATAGTAAGCATGAGGTTCCCCTAGAATGCTACCGAACCATTTTACTACAAGTCTAGCATTGTTATACTTGTCGTTGTTAGGGTTAGAGTAGGTGCACTTCTTATTTTTAAAATTTGAAGCTTGGCCCAAGCTTGTGCGAATAGGTAGACTCGTCTTTTGACTTATGTACTATATCTATATTATGTCCTCATGAGTGACTAGTTTGAAAATGGTGTACGTTTGTGCACCCTAGAGGTTCATTATAGACCTGGCAATCGGGTCGGGTTGGGGACTTCGGTTATGGGTCGGGTCATATTTGGTTGGCTGATTTCAGGGTCAAATATTGACCCAACCCATTCGGTTCCGGGTCGGGATATAGGTCATTTCGGGTTATAAGCGTTCACAGAAACAATATCAAACATGCTTCATATTTTCTTAAAGAACACAAATTTTCGCATATGCATGACAATAGTTTACCTAACATATGTCAATTAACATATTCTCAAATCCTCCCACGCTAATTAAATGAAATACAAATTGCGCAAATCGTCAAAAAGCAATCACAGAAGTAATACTACTACAAGAAACACATGATATTTGATTATCCTTAAACTCCAAACATGTCATTCAAATCCTTGTGAATTTATTTAAACATCTGACCAATTGATTAGTGATTTTATCATTTTGAGAGTGATATATAAAATGGAACGGATCTAACGGGTTGACCAGCTAATCCACCCAACCCGACCCAAAAAATCACGGGTTATCGGGTTCGGGTCATTCGGATTTCGGGTTACAAAAATTTATAGTTTTTGGGCAGTTTCGGGTCGAGTTGGAATTTGCCAGGTCTAGTTCATTAGATAATGTATTAGTTGATTCTTTATATATATCATGTTGATTGATATCATCTCATTGTGTTCATTGTATTTTATTCCTGTTATTATACGTGCCCATGTGGATGGATCTTAATAAGGAAACCCATGTAGTTGAGTACACACCAAAAGCATTGTGCATATTGGTAGTCAACATATGCTATAGGATAATCGTGAGAAGTATCACTAGTTGGCTGACCCATGTGTCACCCTAATCCGTCTCAAGAGGAGGGATCCACCGGTAGATGGTAAGATGTTGGAGCACAATGAGTGGTGGCATTTGTTCAGCTATATATATGTTGCCTATCCTTCTGTTATGCATTTAAGGAAACTCTAGTTGGAATTTTGTCTATACAACGCCTTCATTTACTACTTTCCTAGTCCAATTCAGTTTATTTCATTTTTTTCTTAATTTTACTTTTCAAACCGCTTACAACTAGTTGCACCTCAACCTCGATGCGATTTTCAATAAAAAAAAAAACAGGATCCTCACTATCAGAGTAGTGAGTTCTGAAAAATCCCGAGGGAATAATATCATGATTACCTACCAGGTAGATTTGGCCCCCTAATCTATAGCGGATCATTTGTGGTATCAAGTCATCATTCTTTTGCTGAAGGTATTTAACCCTGCCATTCGAGCCAATAAGTCATATCGCTTATAGAGGTGGCAATTGGATCGGATTCATGGATTCGCGGATTGGATTGGTGGATCCATGGATCAAATGGATTGGTGGATTCATGGATTGGATCAAATGGATTGGTG